TAATGTTATCCAGATTTGGTACTGAAGAGCCGAAAAGGCGAAACATTAGATGCCTATCAATTCCATATGAGTGAAATTTTACCTTTTTAATTTAGAATATTGTATAGGAATCTTGTGAATGATATCTGAACCGATTTCATGGAATATAACTGAGTAGAGAAATGTTTTTTGTATAACTCAGTCTTCATATAAAGTATTTTTCTTTTGTGTAATTCAATGTTTAAATGATGGCTCTTTCAAGAGGAATTTTTCTCCCAGTTTGTGTCTGATAGTTACTTCTTTGCATGATCTACACTTCTTTGTATAGAGTTTTTTTATTGATTGCTTCCTTCCTTTCTTCAAAAGATTTCCACATTTTTTGTATCAAGATGGAGAAGTAGAAAGCCAAAACTTTCTTTCCCGAAAATTTGCCGATACTTGATGAACACATTCAAGTAATGCAACACGGTCTGAGGAAGCTACTGTAAAGAATAGCTTCCTCAGGCTGAAGGAGAAAAACTTCCAAAGAAAGGAAGAAAGAAAATTACTAAAATATGAATATTTAATGGCAGAAAAAAAGGGATTTTTGTGTAATTCAATGTTTATGTGAAAGTTGTTTATTTGAAATTGTTTTTTCTTCCAGTTAATATTGTACTCATTTTTATTCTTCCTGTTTTGGATGTTTTCCACATTTTTTGTTTGATTTTGATGATGGAGAAGTAGAAAACCAAAAAGGTTTTCATATTGAATTATGTTTATGAAGCACGAAGTCAGGCTATTCTAACACGCCCAGTGTTGACAGGTGCACTTATGCCAACGTTACACAAGTCGACTAATTCTGTCACAATGAAAATTGTGTGCTCGGGATTCGATCAAATCGTCAAAGGCCGTTTTTGCCTGGTCCTGATTGGCGAAGGTTCTACCGGTGAGAAAGTTATCGAAGTCCTTGAAAAGATGAAAGTCAGTTGGCGAGAGGTACGGGGGTATGATAGTTGAGGCAGAAATGCGACGCTCAATTCGTTTAATTTCCGAACGGAAATTTGTGAAACGTGCGGACGGGCGTTTTCGTGAAGCAAGATTGGACTTCTTCTGTTGACCAGTTCCGGCTGCTGCTGACGTAATTTTCAGTACATTTCGTCGATTTCCTTACATTAGGACTATATTGTGATGGTTTGGCCCGGTTGCAAAAAGTTATAGTGAATCACACCAGCCGTTGACTTTCATACAGAAACCCATGGTCTTTTTGGTGGTTTTTCGCCTTTGTAAAGTGCAATCACCATCCTGAACGCCTACTTTTGTCACACGTGACCATCCGATCCAAAAAAGGATCGTTTTGGTTGCGCAAAAACAAAGAAGAACACACCTCGAAATGTGACAATTTCTGTCGATCGTTCAAATCGTGGGGCACCCACTTTTCAAGCCTTTTGTCCTTGCCAATACGTTCTAAACCATCAATAACCGCATGGGAGCTGATATCCAGTTCTTTCGTTATCGCACGCACCGTTTATGATTGATCAATCTCCACCAGGGTCCTCAAACCTTGTCCTGGATTGCTGTAGGTCGATCAGTTTGGAGCTCATTTTCGATGCTAAAATCTCCAGAACGAAATTTCGGAAACCAACTTCGATCAGTGCGTTCATTAACACTATCTTTGCCAAATGCCTGGTTAATTTTTCAGGCTGTTTCGGCAGCGCTNCAAAATAAAAGAAATTTTCATCAATTCAAACAAAAATAAAATTCAAAAAGTTTCGAGTTTGAATTGGGCGTTTGATAAAATTCTGAATTTAAACTCGAAATTTAATAAAATTTGGATTTCAAAAAAATTCCGCGTTTGAAGTAAGAATTTAACAATATTCCGAGTTGAAAGTTGTAATTAAAAAAATACTCTAAAATAGGAATCAACCAAAATTCCAAGATCAAATTAGGAATTTACAAAAGTGTGAATAAAACAACTAACAATATAATTTCTAGTTTGAAATCGGAATTTAGCGAAATTTTCAGTTAAAAATCGCACTTCTATAATAATTATATAATTTCTAGCTCAAAGTAGAACTTTTGCAAAATTTCGAATTCAAAGTTTGATTTTAATGAAAATTTCAAGTTTGAAGTCGGAATTTAATGGAATTATTAGGTCAAAATCGGAATTAAACAAAATTCCAAGAATGAAGTCGGAATTTAGTAAAATACTGAGTTTGAAGTCTGAATTAACCAACAATTCAAGATTAAATTTGGAATTTAACAAAATTCCGGGTTCAAAGTCTGACTTAATCAATATTTCGAAATTGCCGTAGAAATTTACCTAATGGTACTTTTATTAAATTCCAACTTTGAACTGGAAATTTTATCAAATTCTGACAATAAACTCCGTAGATTCCGAATTTGAAATCAGAGTTTAGTAGTGACTCTTTTTCATTTGAATTACTTTAATATTGAAAGAGATCTTTCGTTACATTGTCACTTCTATGTTATTCAACATTCGAAGGGAAATTAATTGTCTAAGCAGCAATTCTTTTTGCTTGTATCCATATGTGACAACAATATCTGAAAATAAACAATTTTCATTGATATTTGTTTATTCCAAATTATTTTGTTTTCACATTTCAAAACAAACATTCATTTCCAAAACTATTTTACAAAATATTTCTTCTCGACAAAATATAGTTTGATATACATTTGAATTGAAAGGAATCTAGAATCTTAGTATTGTGCCCTAATGAAAACTGATCTTTCTATTCACAATTGCTGACAATATTTTTTCTGAATTTCATTATAGTGACATCTCAATTGTAATTGATGTGCAATAGTGACATATTAGTGCGTAAAATAATATTCAACGAGTATATACACATTCATAACTGATTACAGAAAATAAAATGAATGAATTGGTACCTTCCTAAAAAGTCGATGACAATACCAGGACCAAGAATATCATCAAAAACCAAACAAATTTTTCAACAACAGATATTCAAAAAGGGATATCACAGGGATCTGTGCTGAATCAGGTACATCGCTTTGATTACAGATGGTATATAAGCAGGTGATTCTTCAGAGATTGTGTCAAAAATGATACCACAGTACCAATCTCTCAAAATGGTGGTCTTGAATGGATGAACAGCTGGTTCTTAGCTAGTTGTCTCTGCCTAAACACGAAGATTTCAAAAATATTAAAAAACCCGTCAAGAACATTCTCTAAAAGAGAATGGTAATTTTTTATGTCTTGTGAGGACTGTATCTGGCGTTTCTAGAAGAACAAGTTGTAGGGAGTTGAACGTTTTCAAAAGCTTATACTTATGACTGAACAGCACTTTATATTTTTGAGTTGTGGGCATACATTTTCAAAGATAAGGATGATTAAAAAAAATCCTTTCATTCAAGATACAAAAAAGAATTTTCAAATTTCGATAAAAATTACAAGATATTGATCAGATCACCAGAAAGTGCTGGACTAACAATCTTCAATCAACTTCCAAATAATCTGAAATCAAATTTCACTCTTGAAGGGTCAACATTAAATCAAAACTTTTTTTATAGAATATTGTTTTTTTATATTGATGATTTTCATAACTTATAAATTGTATGTGTGTCCTGATAGTGATGTATTTTATCTATTTAAGCAAAATTTGAAACCTATGGTGTGAAACAAATCTATTGAAAATAATTTTCTCTCACCAGAACAAAAAAGCTGTCTCTTGACATGCGTGTCGCTAAACAAGTTAGCATCATCACGAGACGATTTCGACTACTATTCTTACGACTATGCATTCAGTCATTATTAAGTCATATCAGCACCTGTGTTGTATGTGTATTCCACTTTTATAAGTTACATAAGTGAGTCTCATCACTACCTAGTCAATCTGGTATTCGTTATTAATAATACACGTAATTGAAACTTGACTGAGAAAAAATAAACAATTTCGACTTTAAAGTAAATGAGCTGAATATCCACCTTTTGACAGAATACACGATTGCAAACGATTTGTTATTAAAGCGGGGATGAGTGAAAGTACTCGAACGACCCATAAATAGTCATCTCTCGGAGGAATCAGTCCAGTCATCACCCGAAGACGATTGTGGATACTAACAATCGAAACGTCGTGAACTAACTTGGCTTGAAATTTTTTAACTTTTTTGTTTTTTTATTTTTATCTTTATTTTCATTTTATATTTCTTTCATTTTTAATTTTTGTTCAATGTTTTATTTTTATTTGTATTTTATTTCACTATTATTTCATTTCAGGTTTTTTTTGCTTAATATTGTTGTTATTTACAGATATTTATTTTTAATTCTTCTTTTTTAGTTGTTTCAGGGATTTCAAATCATTTTATATATTAGACAATGGAATTCCGAACTAGTGAAATTCGACATCATAAATATTTATTCAATATTGAATTGTGAAATTAAGTCATCGGGCTCTAATATATCTCTGAAATTAAATTTTATTTTTTTCAACCCGCCCTTAGTTCACATAAAATTATGGTGATATCATAATAACACTCTTTTATTTACATTATGTGCCCAGACCAAATATATCCGATACGCTTCATCTCAACTGCAAACAAACATACAAACACTCGGCTATCGAAATCCCGTTCAGAGAGCAATAAAAAATCATTTACAGCAATTCTCTCAATGTATTTGCCATACGTAATTTCGATAAGATAAACTCCGCATCAACATCAGATAATTAACCGTATCGGGTCAGTTGGAACTCATAACTCCCTGTGTGGATGTCCTTTTCAATTCGCTTAATTCTCTTGTTCGGTCAATTGTCGACGATTGGTCTGTGATGCGTTGACCACAGTTAGCCGATATGGAACACACTGTGAACACGGTAAGAAATTTCCTGCTGAAGAAGAAGCAGGTTTTAGACGTTTCGGAAAAACCCGCGAGTGTTCCTCAGATAGGCTTCAGGGTGTCGTTTTGTGAAAACGCCAAACAGTTCAAGGTGAAAGTGATAGGAGCCAGGCAGTTGCCCACCGACTATGGAAGTGTGAAGCCCAGAGGGTACTTAGTTAAGGTGGGTTGATAGAATGTAAAAATATAAAGGTGCCACTCAAAAAAGCACATTGAATTTTATTAGAAATTTTTCACATAACTTATTGTTGTGGTCAAAATAAAAGAAATTTTCATCAATTCAAACAAAAATAAAATTCAAAAAGTTTCGAGTTTGAATTGGGCGTTTGATAAAATTCTGAATTTAAACTCGAAATTTAATANACTATTTGGTGAAAATCTCACAATAAAATATTACTTGAATAACGTAAAATCAGTTACAATTCAATAATGATAATTGGTATGTTAGAAAGGTTAATTTCAAGAATTTGTTTGGTTAAATGCAGGAATAGAATTAATGCCCAAATTAGTATCTTGATTATTTGTAGAAATGTTTTGATTATTCACAATGAATTAAAATTATTTACTCGATGTTTTTCAGCTTTAACTCTTTGGTTTCTTTATAGCTTTCAGCCACTAATAATGATTTCCATTATCCAAGCCATTATCTCACCACCAAATGAATATAGTTTCAGGAAATATGCGAAAACTATATCCAGCATCATAATTTTCTTGGATTTTTCTTGAAGAGCAGTTAGATCATTCCTCATTTTGGTGAATGCTAATTCTTTGGCAAATTGGAGTTCTGATAATTTAAAACCATAATTTGAACATTGAAAGTAAATATTTATGCATTTCATGAAATTAATCGGTAACTGCAAATTTTTATTATATTTTTGTTTTGGGTACATTAACTGAAAAGTTTACTGCTTTTGCGATAATTCACAAATTAACCCTTTGTTAACATCCTATTATCAGCATATTTAGTTAAAAAATATCAGGGCAACAAACATTAAAAAGGTTGAGATCCACGTCTTATCACCGATAAAAGGGTAATCGAAATATATTATCAATTGCGTAGATTGTGAAATATATCGATTTGTTTCCAATATTTCAAAATGATGTTCCTTTGAAAGAGCCTAATTATGAATTCTCCTTTTTCTCAAAAAACTATTTATTTATTCATCAATGTCCATTTCGTACCCTTCAAAGTAGTCCCCTTCAGTGCCTCAGTCCCACTTGTGCCAGCATTTTTTCTAATCCTCTGAAGCACTTCTGATATATGAACTATTTGTTATGTCTTTTAGCTCTCTTAGTGATTCGGTTTTTATCTCCGCAATCATCGCAAAACGCCGTCCTTTCATGGGACCCTTCATTTTCAGGAACAGGAAAAAGTCACAAGGAGGCAAATCTGGTGAATACGATGGTTGGGGCATGATTACGGTGTTGTTTTTGGCAAAAAAAATACGAACAAGCAATAATGAGTGAGTAGGTACATTAATGTGATGCAAAAGGGATGAATTATTTTTCTACAATACCGGACGATTTCTTCGTATTCCTTCTCGCAAGCGGCGTATAACTTCAAGATAACACTCCTTATTGACCGTAACACCATGTGGCAAGACCTCTTGATGTACTACGCCACGTTAATCGAAGAAAACCTTGAACAAAACTTTGACATTTGATCGAACTTTGTGTGCTTTTTTTGGTCTTGGCTCTCCAAGCCATTGTACCCATGATTCGTCACCAGTTATGACCCTTTTAAGCAAATCTGAATGGCCGTTGACGTCATTCAACAGTTCCTAAGCTATGCTCATGCGATGGTTTTCTGGTGAAAATTGAATGTTTTCAATAAAAAAAACATTTTGCAAAGTTGAGTTATATATATTATGTCAATATTAAACATTCTGACGATGAAATAAAATGGGGGATTACAAAAATTATAAAACAAAAACAATGAGAGTGAAAATTCCCAGTGAAAATTCTGCTGGAAAGGATAACGAGAGTACCATATTCTAATTTTGGGTTCAAACTAATAAGAGCACGCAGGGAAATGAATTTTGTTCCAGAAAAAAAGACACATGTGTCATTGTTTTCAAAATATGACGAATTTAATAGTTGAATGGACGTTTTCAAAAATGAATCCCGAATTATGTATGTAATAATTATGGTGTAGAATGAGTCCTGGAAAAGTTTAAATTGTAAAATATTAAACAAAAGTTTTCTTTGGGGAGGAAATCGAAGTTTTTCACTAATTTATCTGGAGATTTTCACTTTGCATTATTTGAATAGAAAATTATAATGGAGAACTTTATACAGGTGGAGAAAACCATCATGAGAGCGCTAAAAAAGGTATGATAAATTGTCTCTATAACAGAACAAAAACGATTTGTAATACACCTGAATATTTTGGATAAAGGAGTGGCATTCATAAAATCTGTTCTGAAATAGCACGCTTATCCAATATGCAATAGAAAAAAAATCAAATGAAAAATTTACTACAAACAGCGACTCAAATATCTAAACAATCTTAATAAAACTGTATGTCTTCCTAGCTGCAATTAAATAAGGAATGCCATGAAATAATAATGCAACAAAAGAGAACAAGGGTAATGGAACTCAAAGAAAATTGTATCGAGAAGAAATACATATCTACGTATAAGAAAATGAATATTTCGAAATAGTATTCTCTTCTAACGTATGTAAGTGATGTACACGATTGATTATAGGTTGGCCCTGTTGCTGTGTACAGGTTGGTATTAGCCGGGAAAGTAGCTGTTTTCCGACAGTCATTTATCAGAACCTATTTAAGTTTCCTGAAAAACGAATTCAACATTATTCAATCATTTTGTTCACAAGTTCGTTCTAGGGCAGAAACTCCTTACGGAGTATAAAATGAAAGTATTTTTTATATTTCCTAGATTTTGAAAATACGCCACACTCCTGAATTCTTTCACAGTTATTGTATGAAAAAGCAATAGAGACAATTTTGTTCAGTCTATCATTATAATTACTTCTTCAATTTATACGTTATTCTGTCTGTTTAAAATCTGTTTTTCCGTTAATCAGCTATCGCCCCCATACGAACGACAACTCTCAGAAGTTGAGAAACTTGTGCGAACTTAGGACTAACGAGGTCTTACCTTTTAACGTGTGATTCCTAACACGGTAAGACCATGAAGTAAACCATTCATTTTTCGATCTATCTGCTTTCAACTCAACTTTCATTTAGTAATTTTCTCTCTAAATTACCCTCCTACCTATGATTTTCATTCGCTTGTTCAATTACTGGCGAAATTGCAAAGTATCATGAGAGGTTATATAATGACAGAATCAAGCTGGATATCTCTGGTTGGTAAGCAGATTATTGTGGCTTTGTTTAGCGAAAATTCTTGTAATAAATGTACGATCCATATAAATTAATATTATTACTTCTGATAACTATTGATCTTTTATTAGCCCTACTGCTGTAAACATGTATTTGCTAATTGCATGTGTTATGTTTCAAGAATGAAAATGAAAGGAGGTTGTTAATTTTTTGAATACTATCAAAAGTGTTACTTGTTAAATTAATTATTATTTATACCTGACGTTCCAAAACAATGAGGGTGATGTTCATTAGAACGTGAACATCAAGTCAATTTGACATGAAAAAGGACATCTAAAGTGCCATTCAAAACAATTGTGAAAATATAATGAGGAATTGTTTAATATGCAACAATACCAGATATGTGTACTTTTCTAGATATAAATTAGAGATCCTCTCACTTTCGTCTCTTTGATTAACTTTTTTTCACTTCTATATATATACAAATACATTTGCTTTCATTTTTCATTCGGTTCAAACGAACTTCGAATCATCTGCGAAATAAATGAGGTCTGATCTATAAAATTAATGATTGATTAAATAATCCTTCACTTAATCAGTGGTGAAGGTTGTTGCTTTCCGGGTTCTTCTTCCCATGAACACAGCCTAATAGCCCCAACTTATTTGTAATTTCGAAAGGCTTCGTTTTTGAGATGGCAACAAGAATCAATTACAGTTTTATACTATTGATTTTACGATGGGCGTCGAGTTATATCCAAAAAATATCTATTCAAGTTTGCTCACCAATTTCCGTATTATAATAAATTTATTGGTTGAGACTGTGCTACCAAAGAATTTCTAATTACTAACTAGAAACAAGACCTCAATCAAATTCTATAAGAAAAAGCCTTCTTGAAACAGCTACTTTCATATAAACATTGAATTAAACTAAAGAAAAATTCTTTTGAAACAAGTATTTTCATATGAACACTGAATTATACAGAAAATACTTTTTTCTACTCAGTTTGTATATGTTATCCAGACTGGTACTGGTAAGGCAAATGTCTTACGGCGAAACATCGATGTCTACCAGTGAGCATGACAGTGTTCCATGTAAGTAAAATTTTTACTTTTCATTCGATATATTGTGTAGAAATCCTGTGAATGATATCTGATTTAATTCCATAACGAATATTTGGAATACAAACTGAGTAGAGAAAAGTGTGTTTTATATAATTCAGTGTTCACATAAAAGTATTTGTTTCGAAATAATTTTTCTTTAGTGTAATTCAATGTTTATATGAAAGTAGCTGTTTCAAGAAGGCTTTTTCTTCCAGTTTGTGTCTGAATATTACTTCTTTGCATGATCTACAGATCTATGTATAAAGTTACTTCTTTTAAAATTGCTTACTTACTTCCTTTCTTTGGAAGATTCCCACATTTTTCTGTATCAAGATGGAGTTGTAGAAAGCCAAAAATTTTCTTTCCCAAAAACAAAGTAGAAACAGTGAAGAATTTGTTTGAGTTGAAAGTTACATGTTTCCTACTGCTGTTCTTAAATAATTCTTTTTTATATTGATGATAAAAATGTACGCCAAGCTATTAAGCATTTCATTATTTTTGTCGTCAGTTATTCCGTTTATAGTGCCAAATAAAGTAATTACCCAATATATTGTCCATAAAGTGCCATATAAACTCTCATGTGCACATATTACGAAATATTTATATGTCACGGTCAAAAATTTAGCATAGATGAGACGGCAACAAAAAAATCCCCCACCCAACTGAATTCTTATCTAGCTTTATATTTGTGGAAATATTCGTCACTGATTCCTTTAGCTCAGGTTTATGGCCTCCTTTTACTACTTCGGGCATTAGCAGTTTCAGAGACGATCTATAAATAGAGTTTGTGGAATGCTAATACAAATAAACATCATGAGTGATCGATCATTTCGAAGAAATCTCATTGTTGACATTAATCTGATTCTGAGACATCTTGGTTTGAAAAAACTGAGAATATCACTCAAGATACAATAATATCTGTTATGTCTGTTAAAATCTGTTTTTCCGTTAACCAGCTGTCGCCCCTCTATAAACGACAACTCTCAAAAGACGAAACTTGTGCGAACTAAAAACCAACGAGGTCTTACCTTTTAACGTGTGATTCCTAACACGGGTTGGACGATAGGAAGTGAAAATCGATCGTCCGGCTTTGCGGTTCGAATCACCGGTACGCACAGCAGAGGATTGAGTGAGTAGAGCAAACCACCCACGTTAACCAACCAGGCTACCGTCCCACCTCACGATGAGAAACTTATGCTCAATCAACTACTAAACTATTACAGTGAGAGACCATTTCAACATTTTCAAAACCGTCTCTTGGGCTTATTCTAAGTATTTTTATCAATTATGCCATTAATAATTGAAAATCATTATAATTCCATAAATTGATGGATGTAGCCGTTGTTACTACGTGGTAGGAAATCATAATGAAGAAAAGAGAAATGAAACTTTCTATGTTTTTTACCACTTTTATTTGTAACTAACGTTACTGCAGTTTCGTCCTATACGGGCATTTTCAAACTTATACAATAAACTTTTATTACTGCAGTTTCGTCCCATATGGACATTCTCAAACTTATACAATAAACTTTTATATCATATTATTATTTTATAAGTTTGAAAATGTCCGTATAGGATGAAACTGCAGTAACGTTAGTTACAAATAGAAGTGGTAAAAAACATAGAAAGTTTCATTTCTTTTTTCTTCATTATAATTCCATTAATTGACATCTTTAAGAAGCTCTATTCGTTGACTTTGTTGGGAATTGTCTGTTGAAAACTATTCTATATAAGACACATGCTAGCATAATTTAGAAACGTTATTATATTTCTCATTGCAAATGTCAATTTCTATTATGTCGAATTAACTACGCCGGGCCAACAAAATTCAAAGAAAAATCAAAATAGTTATGTTTTATCGTGACAGATCTCATAATCTATCTGATAACCAAATTCAATTTCAGTTTAACAGCCAGCAATAAACGTTTCCTATGAAACCAACTGACGACAAACTTTACATCATGAAAAAGGGTATAATCACTAATCCTTGTTAGTGATTATAAATTCAACGGCGTAGGAATAAACACTTATGAGTGGGAATTCATTTATATTTTTTATAACTTTAACATTTTTTCACTAACGATAAATTTTTCATCTTCTGAATCTATCAAATGGTACTTTCCAAAAACTGTTTTGAGAAAGTTGATTTTGAATGGAAATTTTGAATTGAATTCCAATTTTTTATGTTTCTCAAATCTGAGAAACATAAACCAGCAGTGAAATGATTTCAAAAATTATTTTCATAATTTTATTAGTTTCCCCTTGAACCATTCCCGGACGTGCATGATCTAATGCTCGTTTAATCCAATGTATGCATCATTTTGATGCAAATTTTGTAATTTACTCTATAAACAATGACGAGTTCTGCTAAATTATGATGAATGATATGCTGTTTAAACTAGAATTTCAATGGAATTGATATTAACTTTATATAAGATACACAAGAGGATTTTGAAAATACCTGGAAGTGTACTTTAAACAATCAAATTTTCTTCGGCATATGACGACCGGAAGTCAACACTTTGCAAAAAGAATTAGTTTATTGAAAAAATCATAAGACCAAACGGACTTACCTGAGTTAAGTTCGATCTCAATTACATAAAGGCCCCGTCGAAATAAATAACAATAAATGTACTACCCTTGCTGACGTCTAGAACCATACATTTTTTAAGCTAGATGACATTTTCGTCCTTTCCCTTCTCCATCATCCCCGATCTATGTCTAGTGCTATCATTCTGCTTTTTACTTAGTCTGGTTCACTCGAACTTCACTCAAGTGAGTTTGTTTGATCTTGTAGTTGTATATCGTTAAAGATTTTAATTGTTTTGGTATCTTGATGTTTAGGTAGTCCTCCGTGATGGTCACATTAACAATATCAATGTCAGCAAGAGTATATTATATTCGTTGACCCGCAGCAAGGGCTAATAATAGCGTCAGTTTGTGAGTTAGCATTTTCAGGTTGCTTTCTTCTGGCGACAATTTTCTGACATAATTCAAAACTAAAGCGGGGTCCCAAGGTGCGCTTGGTTGAAAATTGACTTCACCTATGAAAAACATGTGCAGTATCTGAACCAGCGATTCGTGCAATTGAATTCAGTGTTTCATAATTCATGAAGAATCTCACATAGTAGGGAAATGATCTGTTATTGAAGTTTTGAATATTGCTGAAGTTACCATTTCTGGGACAAACGTTTTACTTTTTAGAAAAATGTGGTCCAGGCAAGTAACAAAACAGACATAGGAATCTAGTTCCCTAGATGTTTCTATATTATGAAACTTGTTAACTGAATTCAGAGTTTCATTGTGAGAGGTTTCAATGGCCAACTCGTCTACAAGGACCGATCATATAATTTTCAGTCCATTCATAATGACAGTCCATCATCTTGCCAGAAGAATGTGTCTCCCGGCTGTTAGGAGCAGTTTGATTATTATTTCACCGGTAATCTTGATATGGAATCGAAATCCTCTTTCTAGCTTCCTCAACGAAAACTTTGATGTATAAGCTTTCTTGTAGAAACTGATGAGTTGACCCCATTGTGTAATTTCAATTTCCTTTGGCAACGAGGATAAGAAAGATTTTCCTGAAACATTCTGAGATGATTTGCTTTCGAGTGCTATCAACGATAGTATTACTTAGGATGTGTACCCTTCCTCTGCATGTCTCTTTCTGGACAATAATTTCGATATTCTGCTCGTAATAGTCTATGTCCTTCACAACATTGGTTTTACAGATAATATATTTATAGAGTTATCAATCAATCATTCAAGGTGAATTTTTCTCAATAGCTGACGTTGGATGTTGGAAATAGTTTCTTTAACTCCGTGTTATCAGTTGTCGAAATAGTAATAAGATGTTAACAATATCAAGCAAATCCTTTATTTCTACCATCATCATCTTCATTGAATTTTTCCAGAACTGAATTCTTATATTTTTTCCAGGTAACCTTCTATCCCCAAAAAGACAAATTCGAGACGAAAACCGTCAAGGACTCTTGGCCGACGATCAACGAAGAGTTCATCTGTAATCTCGCCATCCCTGTTAGAAGGTTCGACGACTACTTCAAGGGAAAATTCGTGTCGTTCACGATATACGCGGTCTTAGGCAAAGAAGAAGACGAGAAACCTCCTGCGAAGAAACCCGGGATGCTCAAGAGATATTTCTCTTTCAATGATACCGAAGACATAGTCCTCCTCAGAAATGGCAGCTTCAAAAGGTCAGGATCGCAGAGGAGGAGTAGTGCTACCAGTGTTATGAGTAACAGAAGGACTGTAGGTGAGAAAAAAATTTGCTTCAAGAGAGTTCACTCACATTAGAATGTGCTCAGACAATAAAAAAATACTTAGAAACTATCTGGATATGGCTGATAAAGGTCATATATTTAAATGGTCAGGAGAATTTCAAATTCGTCCAATTTGTGTGCTCATGGGTAATACCGCTATATATCCTAGCAAAATTCATTAACTCTTCTATTCAGGATGTTTGAAAGAAGTTTCGTTTTTGCCATCTTTTAAATTTGAAACGAGGACTTCGCCAATCCTTTATAGTGGATCTCGAAATGATAAAGAAGTTTTTGGTTGTAGGATGCAAACAAGGAATTGGATATCTTCACCCACATGCTGAAATTTATCCTTATTCATGACACTTCACTCTTCCATATAAACCAATATGAAAAAAACGTCTGTTGTCGATGGACTCCTTCAGTGATGTTCCCGTTGTTATTATTATTACGGTTTTCAACTGCAAATAAAAGCCTGAGAAAACACTATTCTTTCCGTTTTCTTTCCGAAAAACATGATAGTAGAACAGAGTCAGATCTGGTGAATTAGAAGGAGGGATGTGGGAGTAATTCGCCCCATCGACTCCTAAACCACGAATTATTTGAAAGGCAACAATCACTCTTTGTGTGCAGAAGCGTTATAATACAAAAACGAAATATCATTGGACAATTTTCCTTGTCTTCTCTCTAAATATTTTCTCGTGAAGTGGTCAGTAAAGTCGAATAAGAACACCCACAAAATAAAACATGCTTATGTCTTGGCATTCCCAAAAAGACAGTGGCAAGAATGTTTCCTTCAGAATTTTGAATCAAAATTTTCTTAGGCCTTGGAGAAGCAGAAGGCAAAATTTATGAATACGACAAGTTACTGACTAATTCACTGATATAGCTCTGTTTATTTTTCAGATTATGAAAGGTTGAACACTACAAAAATATTGAGAAGCATTGACACTTCCACAAAAAATGTAATTCAAAGAATATCTACACTACATGTTGTTCTTCGTTGCTATGATAATGCGATATTTTGTCTGTCCACAGTACCTGTCTAGGTTAACTAGACATTAATACATCCTTGTACTCTTTATTATATTGCACACATAACTGAAAAAAAGGTGATATTTTGAATACATTTTAACATTTTTATTTCAGGTGCTGTGACATACAATTTGGATAGTAAATTATTTACTCAGAAATTGAAAAATAATACCATCAGTACTCCTGATATTTGGAGAAACGTTGCTGAGATTACCAGTGGAGTACAAACACAGCCGGTGAGATTTTTTTCAAGCAATTACTAACATCAGAAATGAATTGAATCATTTTGCCTTCTATTGTTTTATTTTAAATATACGATGATTCGAAATCATTTCTTCAAATGAACACTGGGAATGTAGTTTACAACTGTGACAACAATTTGGGCTTATATTGCCTAAAGATAACTCGACAGCACTGTATAGAAGATGCAATATAATTTTTTTTAAACATGTGAAAATACGACTTAGGGAAAAATCAAAATAGTGCCACTAGTATTTAAAAGTGAAAAAAATATTCCTAATCCAGAAGTCCAAAACAAGGTTATTGAGAGTTTTCATTCCTCTCTTCGAAATAAGTTGCTCTGGAAAGGGTGATTTTTAATATTTAAACGTATTCAGTTAATTAATATTGGTAAATATAAAAAAAAGCTGGTTCCGCCCGGGATCGAACCGGGGACCTTCTGCGTGTAAAGCAGACGTGATAACCGCTACACTACGGAACCCTTACCAAGGCAGTAGCGATAGACAAGTACGAAGTTGGGTCATACTAATATGGCCAGTATTGTCAGGTCATTTTCATGTTTAGTAGTAGATTTCGTGACAGAAAACCAGTAGAATGATGCACTACACAAAACGATAGAAAATATGTTTTTAAATATACACTGCATATATGGTAATATTCATTATTTACCGTTAATTAATGATTATAGAAAGTAAAGTGAGTCATCAATATATTTTAACTTCCTATTAGTAGAACAGTAGCTCGAGAGCCAAAACCAAAACAGGAGATCTACTGCAAAAACAGTAAATCTGGCATGACTGAATACGATGCTCTTCTTGAGCAATTTATTTTTCATCTGCAGTGGATTGATTCGCATTATCCCGCAGTCTAATTGCATTATGGATTCGTTGTGAAAGACTCTATCTATTTTCCCAGCGGCTTTGTGATTAACAGTGTGATAAATAACGCTGGCATAACAATTATTCAATATAACTTCTATTATATTTGGGTGTGTCACGGCGATTGTCAGAACCTAACCAACCGAACGTTATCAGTTCGTTAACTCTCAATTTTTTTACAATTTTCATATGTTTCAATAGTTTTTCTGCTATTCCAGGCAGATACAAATCTAACAAATATCTAACAAATATCTAACAAATCAAAATTCATAAAAATCGGTTCAGATGGTATAACAAACACGATTTTGCGACTTTGTTTCATATATTAGATAAGTCATACGCTTATTAAAATTTGATAACTTTATTCGATAATTCAAAATTAAAACTGAACAATACCACATTCGAATATTCTCGTATATTCTACGAATTCTACACGTTCATCAGAGGATTTTGATCGTTTCTGTTCGCTGCCTACTGAGGCGATTCAGTTGGGGAAGTGTCAGCGGCGAAACAAAATTTTTCAGTTTAAAAACTATTTTATCCTCTGATTAGGTTTTTTTATTACTCAATTTATTTTATTTTCAGCGAACAGCATTATGTAATGCTAGCAACGCAATGAAAATAATAATGAAATAATGAATGTTAAGGAAACACTATTAGGTGCTTATTAAGTGCTTAACGGTGAGGATCGTAAAATTTTCTAATAATTAAACAAAAGCTTCCAATTTCGCTAAACAACAGATCTGAGAATCAGGTCTCTCGAAAACGAGGACGAATGCTTTATCAGATATAAACTAAGCGTGGTAATACAGTGCTAATCAGGTGCTTGCAAGAAATTAAGATGAAAACGACCGTGAATAAGCGGAATAACTGATTTGAGAAAAAAATTAACAATATACAATAAAGTCTTGAAATGCTCGTAAACTCATACATAGACAATCAAAATAAAGTGCTAATTAAGTGCTCACTAGATATTTATAGTAAACATAGATTCCATAATGGCTAAGGGGCTCATGGACCTGAAAATCACCATGACTGATGTACTGAGTTTTTATAGCACGTTTCTCAATAAATAAGGGCAAGATAATAAAGTGGTCCATGATCCCCACAGCCATTATGAAATTTTGGTTTACTGTAAATATCTAGTGAGCACTCAATTAGCATTTTATTTTAATTGTCTATGTATGAGTTCATGAGCATTTCAAGACTTTATTGTATATTGTTAATTTTTTTCTCAAATCAGGCATCCCGATTTTTTCCGCTAATTCACGATCTCCATCTTAATTTCTTGCAAGCAACTAATTAGCACTTTATTACCACGCTTAGTTTATAACTGATTGAGCATTCGTTCTCGTTTTCGAGAGACCTGCTTCTTAGATCTGTTGTTTAGCGAAATTGGAAGCAAGTTAGCACTCCTTAGTTATCTCCTGAACTTTTTTGTTCTAGTCTGGAAAACGTATTTTAAATAAATTCATTTCACGTCAAAAGTTTCAATTCTACCTATCAATCTTTATATTTAACTGTTATTTTTCTCAGTTGTTTTTGGATTATACGCTGTATGTGAATTATCAACAATGGTGAATTTTGAACACAAAACTTGTTTTTTGACGAGAGTTTGGAGTGATATTAACTTTGAATCAATCGAAGACTAACAAAGAGACAATAAAAAAATAATAAATATACTTCCTGTTGTTTTTAATAAGACTCCAGGCCTTCCATTTCACATTGTCCATATCAATCAATGTAGAAACACTGCCTGAATATTTTTTTTCACTCTTGTTCGGTTAAACAGATCTGAAGCTTGTGTAATTTATAACGTTCATTTCAGAGAGATGGCACCAAAGGCAGCATTGAACTGACTCTTCAGTACGGAGTCAGCGAAGACGGAACTAACGATGTAGTGGAGGTTACGGTCACCAAATTCAGATGTAGTTTACAGACTATGCAGTACCACGAAAAAGTTGGCGGTAGGTTTTCTTTTGTGTCAACGGCATTTACTGTCATGATCATTAACCTCGTGTTATGAGCCTAACCACCTAAAGCTATTCGCATGTAAGAACCAACAACTTCGACAACAATAATTCTATCGAGAAAAAAATCTGGTCGAAGATTTGTTTGAACCCATGATTTTCGAATCGTGAGTCGGCGTACTTCCACAAGAAATTGAGTAATGATAATTAAAAACTTATTTATATTCTAACTTAGTTCTAGTTAAATTTTCTCTATTGATTAAATGGCAATGAACAAGTGGAATATCCCAGATATGCTAGATAAGATAGGCATTTTTATATAATGTTACAGATTAAATTGAATCGATTGTGTGTCACAGTTTGTTGCAATAACACGATTATTCCTATAAATAATACAATGAGATAACAATGTTTGATCCGCATGACCACTTAATCACTCAGACTTGACACCAATTTACTAGAATTTGCGTAACTCATGCCTCTATGACTTTTTTCTGAACTAAGACAGTTGTTTATCGTTTCAGGCCAACTATATATAAAAATAACTGCTTTTGAATACGAAGATCTCATCCAGAAGATGAAAAGCGACAAATTCGAGCCCACAATCAGTTTGAAGCTGGAACCGAGTACTTCAACTCTAAGAGCAACCGTCAATCAGTATAATATAGACCAAGTGAAGATACTAATAAGGCTGATTTCGAAAAACATCGTTGGAAAGAAAGTTGAGCTCGGGAAAATAGAGATCGACAGGCATAGCAGTTTTTGGAAAGACATTGTGGCTGCACCTGCCACTCCCGTGACGAAAATGGTGAATTTTGAGTGAAGACTTGGGAGACTGAAAACGAAGTGAAATACAATTTGGAATACAGAAACACTTTCATGATAATTTTATACCGTATTCGTCGTGAAAGGAATATCTACACCATGTGTCACATTGATGCAGTTTTGGAGAAAACTTTCAATTATATGCATATTTATCGATTTGACTTCGTCCACTTTTTTTGACTTAATGTCGACTAGGTACATATATGAAAGACTGCTTGTAAAAGAAACTCGTATATACATATATATTTATTGAGTTAGTGAAAAAAATGTGCTGACGATATTATTATTTATTGTAGTTTTTTCGACGTAGCTATCATATGAATAAACTGTATTGTACCATAAAGTTATTGTATTATTTACCAGCAGGTCTTGATTTATACTGAAAATAGTACCTATAACTGAAAATTCATGGCAAGATTTTTTCTGTATTCCTCTGAACATAATCTCTTTTTCCATGGTAAAAATTCATCAAGTTTTAGTCAAAATGAATAATAATAACATATCATTCAAATCTATAGAGCGTGTCCCAAGACTGTTACAAGAGATGCGGCGCACTAAAAGTTTCTAATTTCATTTTAAATCTTTGGTGGAAAATGATTTTTTTGTAAAACAATTCGGCCTTGACGGTAAAGCGAGAATCATTTCATTTTTAGATAACATACCCCTTTAGTTTATGATATGTCAAAATATTTTCGCAAAAAGTCGCCCTCAATGGACAGGAGTTTCCTTGGTCGAACAAAACAAGGTATAATACCCGGGAGTCACTCTGGATAGCACATTGAGCTCTCATACCATACAGAAGCTGAGCGAAAGCCTCTCGACATAATCACAACCCCATCATTGGGGTTGTGGTTATGTCGAGCGGCATGAAGAAGTTACATGGTTACATGGTTCTTTAAGTGAAACTGCTCCTAGTCAAGACCACAGAACATTTGTTTCTGTTCTGTGATCAAGACAATTTTGCTCCACATCATCGTATATGCCTCCACTGCAATGCCAGTGCACAGAAACATACTCCAGATCCGAAGTTTTATGAATGTCTGCCTGTGAATGGCTGTAAACGATCCCAGATACATACCTACTCCTATCGATACATTCAACGAGACCTGGATCTTCTCAGGAGTACGTCCAGAACGTGGACGTACTCCTGAGAAACCACGCCGAAAAAATCTTCGAGCGAATTCGGACACACCTTAATCCAACGCTGCGTGATCTCCACCACGCACTGAATAGGGGCGATCCCACAGATTCCGCGAGAGGGACAAGCACGTGAGGCAGATGAAGCAAAATCTGAAACCACCTCTGAGAGTCGTCGTCTGGCAGCTCTGGTAAATAAAAAAACTTCACAGACACACACACAAACACAAATCGGTTCTATCACAAACACACACTAGTCTAGAGCCAAGTACAGGGGACTACCATCCGCACATTACACACAGCAGGCCCGGATGTGTAAGCACCAGAGGCTGACTTCCAATCAAAAGAGGTTACATTTCAATTTCGTTGAAGTGCCGAGCTTGAGGATCACGGGCAAGCGAGTGGGGGTGGACGGAAGAGATTGTAGCTTCTGCACATAGTAACCGTGTGGGGAAGATTCTATATCCGGCAAAGATTCAGTTTAATTGAATCTTCAGCAATTAAACAAAATGTATTATTTCACAAATTTAACTCAGGTAAAGCTGGCATGTAGATACTCTGAATAATATTATTGTATGTACAATTATGATACTATGTTCTGTAATTGTATATGTGAATAAAAACAATCTATTGTGTTAAACCCTTTCTGTCCCAATGCCGCATATATATGTTTTTTAAAAAGTGGGTCTGTAGTCCCAGCCGCCGTATATATATGTTTAAGGTGCTATGGTCTCAATTTACCAAAGCCGAAAATATGCCTTACTTATAAAATTTTAGACCCGTTGGTGTCCCAATGCCGTAGAAATATGTCCGAAAATGTTAGATCATTGGTCCCAAAGCCGCAAAATATTGGCACCTAAGACAGGTCATGCGGACCCATTGGCGTATATATTTGTTCACATATTGAAGATAAATTCTATATTGTAGCACACGTGGACACGCTGTTACATGCATAGGTCGAAGGTGAAGTTCGGTAGAACGATTTGGCGTGTTGAACCACTTTAAAATTCAGTTTTAAAAAGCATTTCGGGCACAACAGTCGCAATCGTGCGCGCGATATGAGTAAAGCTCGTGATTCTAAGCGTAAAAGGTATGATAATGTAGAAAACTTTTATGGGCTATCAAAACAGGAATATGACGATATTTTGGAAGCTCTAGACTCTGATGAAGAGCCATATGTCTCTAGTGGCAGTGAGTATAATCCCGATTCAGATGAAGATGACGAGATAAATGAAGTTATATTTGAAGAGTTCGAAAATAGCAAGAATGGCTCATCTGACGAAGAAAATCCTGTTGATGGTCAAGACAGAAATACAAATAATAAGTCACCTGAAGTGATTCAAGATAATTTGCAAGAATGGCTCATCTGACGAAGAAAATCCTGTTGATGGTCAAGACAGAAATACAAATAATGAGTCACCTGAAGTGATTCAAGATAATTTGGTCCTAAAACAAAATTTCGTTCTGAAATGGAACAACACTCCGTTTATTCCCGTAGTGCATGATTTTGATGATAGAGAGCCGGAGCACACTTGGACTCCATAGAAAATAAGTCGGATGCTTTAAGTTATTTTATTTATGGACACAGAGATAGTTGAGATTGTCTCTGAAACTAACAAATATGCTTCCGAGGTTCCGAGAAATTAGCTAAAGGAGAGTCTATCTCGATATGTGCCGAAAATCTACTTTGCGTGAAATGGAAGGATAGGCGAGATGTTATGATGCTAACTACTTTTCATGAAGATCGCATAGTAGCGTTAGACAAAGTAGATTTCAAGACCAAAGAACCCATACAAAAACCAGCTGTTGTTGTGGATTACAACGAAAATATGGGTGCAATAGATCGATCAGATATGATGTTGAGCTCCACGGAATGTGTAAGAAAGTTCACAAAATGGTATAAAAAGCTATTTTTCCACATAGTTGATCTTTCTCTTCTGAAAGCACATGCTCTCTATTTGACCCAATCTTCAGCAAGGCTACCGCTTGCAGATTATCAACTTACCATTATAGGAGCACTTTTTGATGGGTACGTTTGTAATAATTATTTTTTTCATTCTGCACTTATTTCTTCATCTTGTTTCAGATATAAACATGAAAAAAACAGAAGTTTAAACCCTTCAACCAAGAATCCTCAAAGGCTCAAAGGGCGACATTTTCCTAGTTCAGTTCTTGATAAGAAAGTGAAGTGATGTGTCGTTTGTAGCCACAGAAGTGGCCAGAAAAAAAGAAGCGAATCGAGATACATGTGTGCAAGATGCGAAGTTGGTCTTTGCGTAGTACGGTGTTTTGAGGAGTATCACACAAAAGGAAACTTATAATGTTAATTTTTTACATTATTTTTAAAGTTAGTTAGATTTTTTCAAGTTGGGTTTGCCCTCTGATGAGTATTTCTAAACAGAAAACGTTTAGGTTTGTTAAAAAATATATTTTTCTCATTAAAAAAACATTCTTTGGTCATTTATTCGTTTATTTATATGCGACGTATATATATATATATGGCAATGGGATTCTAAGCATGAAAAAACCTCTGGGACTGAGGGACCAACATGTATATCAAGGCCTGGGACAGAAAGGGTTAATTTAAAAAAATCAAGGTTTCATTAAAGTTGCTAAATTTTCCAAACATTTTGTTTAGGGAAAAATGAAAAGAAAAGTGGCCAACTCATTTTTCAAAAACTGAAAATAAAATGAAAATTAATTTCTTACCAAGCACCTAACCCACAATCTGAAAATGGAATTAAAAAATGATTAGATCATCACACCTCTTTAAACATCCGTCTTGGGACACATTGTATATTAGGTATGATCTATTGAAATATCATTGCTTTGTATATAGACTTCTATATAGACTTCCTATAACTATTTAGGTTCAATGAAAAATTGCCAGATGTAGCAGAACTCGCACGAGCCGCTACTTCGCGATTCAAGTATAATTTACTACAATCAATTCCCGAACCTGAATCAAAAAGGCACCAGCACTGCAGTAAAATTATACTTTACCTCTTTATGATCCGTAAATTGAAGTGACGTTGTTACCTTTGCATATAGAAGATGTTACCCTTCTTGTAGGGTAACATCAAGGTTTTGATCATTGTTAAACAATGCTTTCTTTTGATGATCATTTATTAGGTACTGGTGCTACTACCGTCAAACAGATGGCGAAACGTCTAGCATATGAGATATAAGACTGAAATTTTGAGTTACAGCTAGTGGGCTCTGTTAATGTTTTGTTTTGGATAAATCAAAATGGAATTTATTTATAAGTCATATTGAATTTTGAAGAGAAGTGTTCAATTTACCGACGAATATATTATTAACGACAAATAAGTAGTTTTTCAGAATGAATCTAGGAATATGGTGACATTGCTGATTCCATCCCCTGGTAGAGAAAAAGCAATTTCTGCACTCTGTGGATGGTATGTAGGTATTATTTGATATATTTTAGATAGCGATATCGATCAATTATCATCTATTGAAGTCTGCTGTTAATTTACGTTATAATTTTAATTCTAGAAGTATTTACAATGATGATTCTCAATGGCCTACCTAATTTCTATCATAAATATTATATTTGAAAATCCACAAATAGAAAATGCCAATTGTTGACATTGACCAGTGTGACCATTATGAAACTTTTACTAAACACGTACTACTTATACACGTATTAACATAACAGTGTTTTCTGACAACATATTTCTCTCCTTGGTGCATTAAAAATTGAGCTCGTGCCGACACTTTTACTTAATCAAACAATGCTAGAACTGACTGCACTTAAAACCACTTGTTCAAATGTGCTGGAGTGACACCTGAATTTGCATTTCAAATGAACATTCAATTTTTGCTTTCATGGTTTGATGTGACACCAAAACGATATCACAAAGAAATATTGAATGTGATGGTATTTTAGACATACAAAGTGATCAGTAATGTTGGCATCATACGGAAATATTTTTATTAAAAGCTCTATTCGAAATTTGACTTTGGCATCAATCAATCTCTGCTTCGATCTAGATGAAAAATAACCCCAAAAATTTAATCACGTGATTCGCATCTGTCAAATCGATTCTTTACGAAACAATAAAAGTGAGGTCATTTCTCAAAATATTGGAAAAAGTTATTTAAAAAAGTTTTCTAAGTACAATTTTAAGTTCATATGCGAAAATTTAGAGATGCTTTTTTGGGGTAAATTGCACTATTTTTGTAAACTCCCTACTTTTGAAAATGGTTTATTACAGACGCGTTTTCTTTCATGTGAGTTTTTTCTATAAAATCCAAATAAGGCTATTAAAAATTGGTCAGAAGTGATGTGGATTTTATTTGTTTTTGATCATGTACAAGTTCATGAAATGTCTATTTTTGAAAAAGTAGTTGTATTCAAAAGTCAGCATAGTTTGTTATTGATTAATAAGTGAAATTATAAATGCTTTCAATTTTTATTCATATTATATTTTTTTTTGAAGGTTTGATTCTGTTCAATTGAACAATATTTTTGATATTGATGTGTATTACTTTTACACAACATACTTTTCACAATTAGGTATTAACGGAAATCACCTTAAACAGGTTCAAAAACACATATAAGTAGTTTGCATTACATGTGACCAGTTTTTAATAGCCCTCCTAAAACACCCTAAAACACCCATCCTCCTAGCGCCCTCCTAAAACACAGTTTTAGGAGGGCGCTACTTAGAGAAAACATATCTGAAATAAAACAAAATCAAAACTGAAGAACTTCAGGTAAATGGCAGAATCTCATTTTGTATTAGTGGGACAATTGAAAAAAATTTAAATTATATTATGCAGTTGCATGTATGCATTGTAATAAAATAAAATGTATTAACTCTTTTCGATGCCAAAATCAATCCATATTTAGATTGGAACTTAACTGTTAACTCTGTATAATTAACATATCATTTGGGAAAAATTATCCTAAATTATATATGCCTTATTATAACTACATAATATTCTACTTAATATTCTATGCAGAGATCAAGTAATGATGACAATTAATACATGAGTAGGAAGTAAGTACCTAATGATATAAGCCAAAGCTGAAGGTGATTGCAGGTAATGTACAGAAAAGCTATCAAGAAATTTCCATAAATTCTCATTCAACATTTCAATTGATTTTTTTTAATTGATTATTGAGATATTTTTTTTAAAGATACATTGCATTATTGTTTGAATGAAAACATTGATTGTCTAAATCAGGGGTCTCCAAACTTTGAAGCCTTCGGGCCATAATGATTTTTTCAGTTTGTTCCAAGGGCCAATTTCTGCCCTTAACTATTTTTCTAGACTAGGATAGTCCCAAAGTGCGTGACCTAAGCAAACTTACGCTTTTTTTGCATTTCAATTATTATTGTGTATTGTTACACTTAACGACATCTAGTGGCGAGTAGTGGTACTATGTACTATCTTTTTCAGCTACCCCCTCGGTGGCATTAGGCTTAATTAAATATTTGAAATTACCGCGTTGGTTCGAGAAAGTTCTGGTTCTAGCTAGTGTATTCCGATCACCTCGAGATGGCAGTATTAATTGCATATAAAAAGGCTAGCGGCGCAACTGCGAGTTAGTCTGCGTAGGAAAGGCGAAGGAAGCGAAACTGTCTATTGTGAAATAAAGT